AAAAAAAAAACTCTTTCCGAGCATTTGAATTCAGAGAATGTTTCAGCGACGAAAGAATAAATCGTCATGACCTAACTTTGCCATGGAGGCCCATCTATGACTTGTACATCGACGTGGTCTATAAACGCAATGCCAGATGTCTGGATGGCGCTAACATTCGTACAGCGGTTCTATCTGCTAAAGAATTATTCCCACTTTCGGCAACACAAGAAATTCTGGATGAGGTTTGGTTCCTGAGCATATTGCCGTAAAAATCATGCCACAATTGCTTTAAATATTTGAATATTAGTAAATACTAATGCATACTTCAGATTCGTCCCCTCATTGACGTGTGGAATGATTATGCGATGGAGAAATTCGTGAGTCTTTTTTCGGCGTTCGTGCCGCTAAAAATGTCGCATGCTGAACACGCGAAATACGGCGCTGCACTGTGGTTCGAGGAAATGTGGTATTTTTATAACTTCGTGGAAATGAACAGTTCTTGGGAAACCCGCATACAACACATATTTTCCGCGTATGTTTCTTTTATTATCGTCTCTCCGCTTCTTACTGCTGCTGATAAACTAGTGGATATGGCAGCCCCGCGAGTGATTGTATTGATTTTTATCCAGCGAAATTATTTATATTCAGCATCGTGCGAAATGATTTTCGCAGTGTGTGCAAAAACTGTCCCAAATATGTACATTTTTCTTTTTCCCAGTACCGTGTAAACGTGTAGCACTTATAGGATTACTGAATACTGTCCGGGATATATCGACTGGACGCCGAAACTGACGATTATTTTCTCGAAGCTGTTGCGGACTCTAAATTTGAGTGTGCGTCGCAGCAAAGTTGCGGTTGGCGATGGTGCTGGAATGGGATCCGAGACTTCTGGTGCTGAATGGATCGTTTGGATGCTGGGAGGGGAGAACAAAAGGTGCTCTTTTACCGTGATACGCCTTGCTGATTGAATCTACAGCTGCTCTAGTTATCCATTTAGTGTAAGTTGTATGATTGTTATTTCATATCTTGAATTCACTGACGGACCATAACAGCCGTGGAGAAGACCTCCAGAGTTTCAAACCGGTCATCAGCTTGCTTCTAAGCAATACTCGTCAGAGGAGCTATCGACAGTCTTGCCCGCTAGTTGTTCCTGTTAATTTGCTATCAGTTGGGCTACGCGAGAGCATCTCCGCCTTTTCATAGGGAGTGAAGAAAGAAAGAATTAGGATGTCTTGAATTTTCTGATCCGAATGCAAGTTGCGGGTTGAAGCGACAAGTAGCAGCTAAAAAAAAGACAAAGTCAGTGCGTGATTACGTGAAAGAATTTGGAATAGATTCCGTTCCTAAGCGTTGATGATACGAGCATTATTTGTCCTAACGACCTGAATGAATCTGGTACTGACGATTAACGAGAGATGTGGTGCATAATGAAATAGAATTTAAGCGCACATGAATGTTTCGAGCGACTGATCGAATGTGTGGAATCGTATCTACACCCGTTGCACGAAGGTGTTCATACTCCGACGCTGCAGTCATTCCTGGACTCACTTGTAGCCGAAATGGTCGCACGTGTTCGCACCGAACGCGTGCGTATGAAAACCAGGAATAAGGTAGATTGTGCTGTACTGTCAAAAAAGCTTCTGTACTGTTCAGTTCTTGCTGTAAATCCTAAAAGAAAGCCGTCTTTTTACGTTTCCAAAATTTTTTCTACCATTCCACTGATAAGCCACTGCTTGCTGTAAAATAAAGT